TGGGTGCTAAGTAAGTAATTGGACAACGTCACTGATGCCAGCAAGAGCACCAGTGTTCTCTCTTGATACCAGACTTCGGAAACACACCAGGCTTATTAATCTGAAGAATTAATATTGTCATGTTTCATATTTAGAAAACCGAAACACTTCAGGTGGAGAAGCAGCTCTGGCATTTTAGCAGAACCGCAGTGTCTTCTGTCATGTTATGCAGCCTACTGAGCGAAGAGTAAGCGTGCATCATAAAGCAACTGCCGTCACTGCATAGAATATGGCAGGGACTAAGGAGAAGTAAAGAGCCAAGAGTACTCTATACTCTCCTGAAACAGATACATCCAAGCTATAGGTAAAACTCAAACAGAGATTTGGGCTCATGAGCACTGTTATTGTTTTTGATTCGGTTGAGGGATGTAATCGTTCATGCATCATTATTATCCATGTTGTGTTACTCACCTTTTCAGACAATGCCTATTTTAACCTGTGCCCAAAATATTCAGGGCCTTGCTCAGGTAAACATCCACTGAGAGGGAAGTCGAGGGGGTGGGTTGGCATGAGACCAGTTCTCCCTCTTGACCACAACCCATACCTTGGGACAGTCCCTGCTGGTTCAGGTGACCGCCTTTTCTTCGGGACAATGGATCAAACTACTCACCACCAACATGGCAATCTCTCTTCTTGATTGTAGATTATGGCTCATCATGACATAGTGAACAGTCAAATGGCTCAAGCTGCTTTTGATTTCTCATACATCCTCAAAGATATATAATCTCTCTACTCTGTTAATGCTAAATCATCAGAAAATTGGATAAACTCACTCTCCCTTTAGGATATCAATATTGATCAGATTACAGATATAAGTCATACCAGTGGGATAATAATAGACCACAAACAACTGTATGTTTGCATTCTCGCAATGTTCTTGTAAGAGCAATACCATCTCCAGGAATCTCCTAAAGCATGATGCTGACACTGCTGGGCAAACATATAAGCCAAACTCTTCCTTGCATTTAAATTAGTCTTCCAGCGCATATATATGTATATGGCCCACACCTTCTTTTCCTCTTTTTCCCAGTGAAGCCCCATAAATACTATTCTTTGTAGCTTCAGCTGTTATAGCTGTCATTATTGTCCACCATTCAACTCTCACATACAACCAAACAACAAAGATTCTACTCAAATCAAGCACTTAACATAAATATTAAAATAACAGTAGGGACAAAATATAACTCTACATAGAACTTCATAACTACCATAGCACCTATTACCATAAACAAAAGCAAATCTGGCTTGACTGGGAATGAGGAATGGGGAGATGGGAAGACGGCTAGAGGACTCTTGGCCATCCTTATTTAAATCACACATTAATTTCTTGTCAGTTTTTTTCTTTTTGTCTGTGGCTGACAACCTTATTAAAATTCATTTCACTAACCAGTTCATTCTAAGTCACTATGGATATCAAAGAACCCTTTTTAAAAAAGCCTTTGAGAGGCGGGGATAAGATTTTCCCAAAAAAGAAAAAAAAAGGAAAAAGGAAAAAGGCCGGTGGCAGGTTCTCCTCCTTGGTTTTTGTGTGAGGAAGGCTGCACTGCCACTGCCCCACCTCCTAAACCCATCAGTCCACAGAGGGGTAAAATCGTGTCCAAGTCCATTTCTCAGTTTCCCAGGATGAGTTTGACAAAAGAAGCCACATCTGTCTCTTTGGATTCGTGCAGGATGAAGAAAGGGTGTTGCTAAAAGAGGAGGAAAAAAAAAGTGAGTAAGTGAGGGAAAACTCCAGGTAAAAGCGTTCTTTTGCACCCTCCGGTTTAGCCTGCTACTTCCCTGTATCAATCATGGAAAATACGGGCAAGTGTGCAGTGACAAGTGCAGTCCGCCTTTTCCAGAAGGGGCCACAGAAGTCATCAGAACAATATTACTGCTGCAAGAAATGTCTTTGTCACTCCTCTTCCAATGCAGAAAAACTGGATACAATTTTATTGCAAACATAAATATCCAGGCTTTTTTTTTGGGCCCATCATGAAAAGGTCTAGCCTTTCAGAAAAAGGAATTTTGAGTGGTGTGTACCATAGTCCATTAGTGACTTGGGCAGAGCATCCAAAAAGGCAAACAAGTCATCTCTCCTGCATAATGGACACCAAAGTGTACGGAATGTGTTTCCCGATCTTCTCTCTCTCTTATTACTCACTGTACGAATTAGTTTATAAATTTCTGACAAAGGAAAGCGAAGACTAAAAAGGAATGACATGCCCAAAGCCACAAGAGCACGTTTATGGTTGAGGAAGGGCTGTGAACTGCTTTCTCATGTCCAATACTCTTCCCCCTTGGATTATAGCAGACAAAAGCCAAGGGATCTTCTTTCATGAGAAAAAGATTCACAAATGGAAAAGCCATCTGATTCCTTACAAGAGATCTCCAGACAAAGCTTCAGCCAATGAGCAGGTGGATTCTGAATGTAAAGGGACGTACAGCTGTCATGTGCCAAAGTCAGAGGAAGGAGGGAAAACCAACCAGGCTGAAGAGTATGAGCAGGTGGATTCTGAATGTAAAGGGATGTACAGCTGCCATGTGTCAAAGTCAGAAGAAGGAGGGAAAACCAACCAGACTGAGGAGTGAGAGAAAAGCAGCACAAGCTGGTAGATGAGGGTAGAAGCTCAACAGAATGAGAATTCAACAGAAAGACTTAGGGATAATTTACAGATACAGAAGGCCAGTTAGGAGGCCAGATTATACCATGCATGTTAGGAACTGAACATTACGTCCAAACCAGAATGCATACATGCAGATCGCCTCCACTTGTGCAATCTCCATGCCACAAAAAAAGGAACAGATCAATTAGGAAATGGGGCTTGCTTTTATATAACACTGCATTTGTACATTCAATATACACTGAACATCCTTAGTGTGTGTGTGTGTGTGTGTGTGTGTGTGTGTGTGTGTGTGTGTGAGAGAGAGAGAGAGAGAGAGAGAGAGAGAGAGATATTCTTGCACAATTACTATAGGAAGTACATGTTGGATCAATATGTGAGCCAACTGTATGAGATCAGGACAGTGTTTCTATGCTCAGGTGACTCATCAAGAAAGCCAGCTTCCTCCAACCTTGATAATAAGAAGTGGGTAATACTGCCTTTGGATCCCTCCACGTTTACACAGGTGTCGCCTACAGCTAGCATTGAAGGGGATGTTTAATGTTTCTTTATGTCTCTATCTCTCCATTGCTCAGACTCTGAACCAGAAAAGAGGTAAGCTAGTTTATGGGAGACTGGCTGACACTATTAAGTACAGGACAGCAACCAACTACATTAAAAATAAAAACAACACCACCCTGTACTTCAACTGAAAGGTTATTCAAATTGAGCATCAGGTGAAAAGTGGCCGGTATTATTTCTTTCAGATCTACCCAGCCACCCCAGCCACTGTTCAGCATCGCTCTCAAGTTTAAAATACTGTATCAGCAAGATCACAAGATGGGCTAGTAGTAGCCTCAGTGGTTAACAGGGGTGAACTTCAGTCTCTTGTCAAAAATCATGACATCAAAGACACATTTTAATGAACATGGGGGGAGGGGGCAAATCCAATGTTAGGTCTACTTAGAGTAGACACACTGAAATGAATGGGACTTGTTGGTCACAAGAAGTGTAAATCCCATTAATTTCAAGTATCCCTTTAGTGCAAGTAGGGCTAAGGCTGTCTTTAGTCCATTTTAAAATTTGCCAGAATTTAAAAGGTAATACTGTCTATTATTGACCAGGCATGAAAGTGCTGCTAAATTTCAAAAATAAAGCTGGCAATTTCTACTCACAGCTCTGCAGCTGAATGGATGGCCTATTGAGAGACTCCACCCAACCTGGCTGCCAGAGGACCTAGACCACGTTACCCTTTTGTCTGGCTTTGATCGCAAAAGCAAGTCAGAGAAAAAAAACAGTGTTCAAAATTACTGTCTGAAGCAACCATAAGGGAGGGAGGGAGAGAACACGGAGTGGACAGATTTTTAAACCTTCTACCATTACATACTATTTCCAGGGCAACAGCCTGACTGCTGAGGAGCTGCCTCCAATTTCCATGAAACACAGATACGTCGGCTCCCATGGCTGTGGGAGAGGCCTGGGGCCCGGGTGTCCTGCCAATGGGCTTCCCACAGAAAATCTAGTTGGTCACTGCAGGAACAGGATTATAGGACTTGGACAGGCCTTCCGTCTGACCCAGCAGGAGTCACAACGCTAACTAGCAGCTTGGGCGCCCAGGGTTTTGCTCCCTGATCCATTAAGCTTCCGTCAGAGAAGATCAGCATACACAAAGAGAGGATGGAGGAAGGAGGAGGAATGTGGAGGTCTGGATGCACAACCATCATATGGGTTACACACTGAGTTATTCTCTGTTTATTCACGAAGGCTTTCACGGCCGGGATCTAATGGTTGTTGTTGTTTTTTTGGGCTCTTTGGCCGTGTTCTGAAGGTTGTTCTTCCTAACGTTTCGCCAGTCTCTGTGGCCGGCATCTTCAGAGGACAGCCCTCTGAACACGGCCAAAGAGCCCGAAAAACCCACAACAACCATATTCTCTGTTTCTTCCTCCCCACGGACGGTTGGCTGGAGGGTGAGCCAGGGCCTCACCTCCCTGAAGCACATTTTTGTGCCCTTCAAATTCTGGCGCCCTGGGTCAAAGCTCTGGTTACCCCCTCCCTTGTTTCTGCTGTCTCTCATGTTCTTAAGCTTCTTGAATCAGGTAGAGTGGCCAAGGAGATCACTGTGTTTACCAGCTTCAAGCTTTCTGGGACTCTTCCTTGACACAACCAGCTCCTCCTTAGACAACATTAACGATCTTCCCAGAGGGGAACTCCTGACAAAGTACCAAAGGAACCACAGGGATCCCAAGAACACATTTTGAAAACCACGGAGAAGAATCGAAAGCAGAGTTCAAAGGAGAACATCTGCTCTCTCCCTGCCCTCTCATTTTCCATTGGAAACCTCAACTTCACAGGAAAGGCAAGGAAGCAGCTTCAGCCTCAAAGGGCTAGTCCCATTCCAGTACCGCAGTGTCTACTGCCATGGGAAAGTGAGAAACGGAAGAGAAAAAAAAAATCCAAACCACAGGACCTTACAACATTAATGTCAGCCACAAAATACCACAACTCTGAGATACACTTGAAAGGGGATCCAACATCCTAATTCAGTAGCAATGTGCAGGGCTGCCAATCAGAGTCTGGCCAGAGCTCCTTCTATCTAGCCTGGTGAACCCTACATGCCCTGAAAAGCCACATGGTACAAAACTCTGCTATAGGATTTGAGAGGGTGCGAAAGAACAGATATTTTGTGTCTGTGCACATTTCAAGGACAAAGCAACAAAACTAGGCCTTTCTCAACCTACAGACATGCTTTATCAATGAGCAGCTCCATTATAAATACATTATAGGCACCTACACCAGAAGGGTTACTTAATCTTTTACCATTTGTTTCATGAAAAGATGTTCACTGAGAGAGGGAAGAAAAGCAGATTACTCTCAGTACTGAAAATGTTTTCTCCACTTTGCTATAGGATTTGAGAGGATGGGAAAGAACAGATAACCTCGCTGTGAGCCTTCAAGGCATGCCAGTTTTATTAGGCCTCCTCCTGGGGACTTCTGAAATCGTAACCTTGTAATCTTCAGTATTAAACAGGGTGGATAAAAATCATTTTTTTAAAAAAATCAAATTGATTTAAATCACAATTAAAATTTAAAAATTGAGTTTTTCATTTAAATCATCAAAAACATCTTTTTGAAAAAAAGATTTAAATCAAATCCACCCTGTACTAAATTACATGAGCAGAAAGTCTTGCCCATAGATTAACCAGATGCTCTATGAACTTTTCATTCACTGCATCAAGGACAGAAGTCAGAGTCGGCCACACATGGTGATGCTGCAGGTAAGGCTTGGGCATGCACACCTGCTCCATATTCTAATCCCACACTTGTTCACCTAATGCATGGGTTTGTGTTACACATGCATTCCATTTTTTAAAAAAAGCCCACCAAAAAAACCCACTTACCATTAGCTCAGGGTACGTTGGCCTTTCTTTGGAATTTTTCTTCAAGCTTTAAAGAAGGAAAGAAAAAAAGGGTGATTTTATTTTACAGGTGTGTTAAGTAGCACAGGTGAGAAGAAGGAAGCCCCAAGGGACATCACAAGCTACCCCCACACAGGAGTCCCTCAGCACCAAGTTGTCCCTCCCCATAGAAGGACTAGAATCACCATGTCGCATCCCAGGAGGATACCATTATGTAAGGGGTGAGTGACAATGTGCCCTCATCGTAATCTCCATACATATCTGTCACACACAATTCCCTTGTGGCCTCTGGGGGCATGGGGAGGATTTTGGCATGCTTTCATATATGTGAGGCTCCCAAAACTCTGCAGGCTGCCTATCATGCTACTAAGAGGCCAACACAACCAACAGGGAACACTTCCTTGCCAATTCTTGAAGTTCTCTGCCTACAGGGCAACCAAAAGTATCTCTATCCCACAACCAGGTCAGATGCCAGACTATAATAGATCTAAACAAACTGATTCTGATGGGGCTTTTTCAAAAAGGATCTTATCGCCACCTCTTCTCTGCCTTTACAAGCAAAGCAAGGCCCAAGGTCCAGAATACATGTAGCAGTTCTCACCGCTCACAGGATTCTGCCCTTATCCTCAGGCTGTACACTGAAAAGTATGTACGGTCGCTAAACAAACCAGGGGCAAAGTTACCTTCACAGGGCCTTGGATCAAAAACAGCATCCAAAGAGTCATGCAAATTATTCAAAATGAACCAGCAAGTCAGCCAGAATAAGACAGGAACCTGATCACTTGGGGAAAGGCATGCTAAACCATGTGATGCAGATGGAAAGGGTCCAGAGAGGAGTAGTTTATTTGCTTAGAACTTGGGAGTTCAATTCCCCGCCATACCTCCAGGCATCAGAGTCAGACTGTGTAATCTTGGGCAAGCTGCACAGTCCCGGGGTGCCCTCAGAAGAACTGAATAGTAAACTGCTTCCAAGGTCACACTACCTAGAACACCCTGGAAAGGACTGCCATAAAGCAGAATCACTTCGTAGCACACAATTATTATTGGCAATACCACAGAATAGACATTCAAAAAAGGTTCCAGCCTGAATTAAGTATGACTAATTCCATGTCTTCCAACAAAGTTAAGCTGCTTTAGTAGCTCTCAATAATTTCTTTACCACCAATTCCCTACAAAACCAATAGGCTACTTTGGCTGCACTCCATGTGATCACGTTGACCACCAATTTGTCGATTTCAGAGGTCTATCAGGGCAATGGAGTGGGGTGACAGAAAAAACCCCGAAGAGCTATTAGAATCCATCTCCCTCCTGGAGCAAGCCATCTTAGTCTTTTACTCCTACACAGAATCCACTTCCCAGTGTGCCTAAACGCCACCAGGTAGTGATCTGCCTATGACAACACGAATAGAGAGAATTTTTACACACCAGATCACCACCACTCTGCCCTGTGCAAAGCAAAGCAAAGCAAAGCAAAGCGTGCTGCTTATATACCGCTCCATAGTGCTTCAAGCATTCTCTGGGCAGTTTACAAGTTAATTATGCAGGCTACACATTCCCCCCCCCCCCCGCCCAGCAAGCTGAGTACTCATTTTACTGACCTCGGAAGGATAAAAGGCTGAGTCAACCTTGAGTCAGCTACTTGCGATTGAACCCCAGGTCGTGAGCACAGTTTTGGCTGCAGTACAGCGGTTTAACCACTGCGCCACGAGGCTCTGCATAAAATCTGTCTCAGTTTGTGCCCTGTAACGTGGGTTGAGCAAGACACTACTTGGGACAAACTCACAATTATTACAGTGCATGGGAAATCTTAAGACAATCTTTACAATGCAGCCTTGGCATGGATGGGGAAATTCCTGAGGACAGCAAACCAAAGGGAATCCAACACCACCCCAAGACTGGCTCAGGTAACTTCTGAAAGGAAGCTCTATTAAGTCTCAGACTTCCAGGTGTACAAATTAAACTCATCAGACTATAGGAGAGGAGAGGGAAACAGGATCATGACATCCTATTGTAGCTTCACCTCTCTGTCCTCCAGGTCTCTACAGTGAATCCTGGTACGCAAAGATGGAAAAACTGACTCCTCCCCCTGCTTTATCCCACCAGATTTCTGAAACAGCAGCCACTCTCTGAGGGTTCTGTTCTAGATGACTGTTCTCCAGACCATTACCAGCACAACATACAGTACAGTGGAGTCTTGACTTACGTGTGGCTCCACTTACGAACTTTTCGACCTACGGACTTCTCTGGCTGCAAAGTTTCACTTCGAAACTCCCCCCAGAAGGGGGAGGCGGGGAAAGCACCAAATTCAAATTTGGCGCTTTCCCCACCTCCCCCTTCCAGTCCGTAGGCTGCAGGTTGTGCCTCTGGATGCCTTCCAGGGCTTCTCCGCCGCCATGGGAGGCATCTCGGAAGTGTCCCCCCCCCGCCGCCGATATTGCTTCGGAGGCACTATTGGTGGTGGTGACCTCCGAGATGACTCCCATGGCAGCGGAGAAGCCCTGGAAGGCATCCGGAGGTCCCTCCCAGCACCGTTGCTACTGTTGCTGGGAGCCGAACCGCACCGGGTGATCCCGGCCATACTTGGACTCCTGGGGAAGTCCAGGAGACCGAGCATGGCCAAAATCACCCAGCGCGGCGCGACTCACAGCGGCGGGGGACCTCCGGATGCCTCGGAAGCACTATCGGTGGCGTGTGTGTGTGTGTGTGTGCCCTCCAAGATGCCTCCCATGGCAGCGGGGAAATCCTTCGGAGGTCTCCCCCCGCCAATGTAGGCGTGTACCGGGCCTACCAGGGGAGGGCTTCCCCTGGTAGGCCTGGTCTACCAGGCGTTCCCGGGGAGTAGACCGGGCCGACCGGGGGAAGCCATCGGCGGGGGTGGGGGACCTCCGAGTGGCCTCTGGCAGTGGCGCCGAAGCCCTCACAGTCCTCCAGCAGCGGCGATGGCGGCGGCGGCGGAGCTCCGAGAGGCCTCCAGCAGCAGCAATAGAGGCGGTGGGGGACCCCGGAAGACTACGAAAAGGTAATGCTAATTTTTTTTAAAAAAATTACTTTCATCTTATGTGTGTGTGTGGGGGGTGTTTCTTGGGCAGGTAACAGATTAATTGGTTTTCAATGCATTCCTATGGGGAAATGCATTTTCGACCTGCAGACTTTTCAACCTATGGACCCCGTTCCAATACAAATTAATCCCGTAGGTCGAGACCCCACTGTATGCGACCATTACTGCAGACTTTTCAACCTATGGACCCCGTTCCAATACAAATTAATCCCGTAGGTCGAGACCTCATTGTATCCGACCATCGACAAAAACAGCTGGGGAAGCCATATAACCCCAACACCGAGGTCAGCTACTTCTTCTCTTCAGTGAATTTGGTATCTGACTTTGGAGCCAGGGGTTGGGAGTTCAATTCCCCACAGTGCCTCCTAAGAACTTTCAACCTATGGACCCCGTTCCAATACAAATTAATCCCGTAGGTCGAGACCTCATTGTATCCGACCATCGACAAAAACAGCTGGGGAAGCCATATAACCCCAACACCGAGGTCAGCTACTTCTTCTCTTCAGTGAATTTGGTATCTGACTTTGGAGCCAGGGGTTGGGAGTTCAATTCCCCACAGTGCCTCCTAAGAACAGAGCCAGCCCGTGTGGCCTTAGGCCAGCTGCACAGTCCCAGGACGACCCTCAGAAGAAGGGAATGGCAAATCATATCGGACTATTCTCTACCTGAGAAACCCTGAAAAGTGTCACCCTAAGTCAGAATTGACTCAACGGCACATATAGGTGATAACAATGCCATATAACATATGAAATGGAAATAAGAGTGATTAAGACTATAGTCTATAGTACTGAAAACAAGGCCACAGGCAACTTGCGGACTGGACAAGAGAGGTTCATCCTGAAATTTTAGATGGGCAAGGCATCCTCCTCTGTTCCATTTGTGAACTGAATGTGCAAAACAGGGCAAATCACTGGATGATCTGTAGGTAAGTGAAGATTTCCCATTGTTATAATTGTAATGTTATAGTAATGGGACTGTAATAACAAAACTGTAATTACTATCACTATAATCCCCAGGAGTTTTGGCAGGACCCAGGGACAATTAAATTGGCATTTTAAAAATCCATGCCCAAAGCATAGACATGACCCTGTGCACATTTCCACACGCAGATGCATGCAACATTAAACTGATTGGCTGTAAAAAAAAGCCTGGGGGCTATTGTCACTTTCCTTTCACCTCTGATCCACTGAAACCACTGCCATTATCACTCAGCACTTTCAACACTTACAAAAAAGACGGACCTCCTGCACAGAAATTGACTACAATGTTTGGCTGGAGAAGTTTGTCTGGGTCTGGAGGGCGAGATGAATGATCACCAAAAGAAGATCATTGATTTCAGTCTTTCTTTCCAGCAGAAAATAGCTTTGAAGACAGGATGTAATAGCAACTCTCTTCCTGGCAGTGATTTATTTGGATGGGGGGGGGGGGAACGGGACGTGGAGGCTTGGAGAGACCTGAAAACTATCTTGACACGTACACAGGCTTTGCAGGAGAGGGGAGAGAGATGTAAAGCCTTGATGAGAGAAGCATGCTGAGAGAAACAAAAGTGTGATGGCCAGATATTGTAAACATGCCCTCTGTTGGGATTTGCCAAACCTCCGGGGGAAGTGAAGGGTGCTTACTGCACAATCACATCCTGTCCATCTTTCCTCTGTATCATCTCAGAGCTCAGATTTACAGGAACACTTGTGCTGTGTATTATTAATACAGACCAATGATTCACATACATACTGTATTTTTTGCACCATAAGACTCACTTTTTTCCCACAAAACAGGGGTGTGGAAAGTCTATGCGTCTTATGGAGCTAAGAAAACAGATTATATTTTCCTGTTTTCTTCTCCTAAAAAATTGGTGCGTCTTATGGAAAGGTGCGTCTTATGGAGCGAAAAATACGGTACATCCCGCCCCCGCATGCACACTCCCCTTTTGCTGATCAGGACTGACAGAAGCCTGTGCGCTTCTTTAAAAA